TTTGTCACTGTAAAAAAAAATACTGAAAAAAATAACTTTAAAAGAGAAAAGTTCACTAAACTCAGTTTTGGAGGTTCAAGTCTAAGATGTGGTAGCCCGACTGGTTTGGTATCTGAATAAGTTGATAGTAGTGAAGCACGGAGTGTAAGTAGAGGAGGGATCAGATGGGTGAGTCAGGTTTCAGAGATTGTCTTGTCTTAACTTGGCACTTATCACCAACTCCTCCTTAAGAACTACCTTCCAAGCCCTTTTCTAAATGGCCTTTGGACATCCCAGTAGGCCCATTCCTAAGTGCCATAAATTGGATTAAGCTTTCATCCATTTCAGTGCCATGAAACTTTAAAGTTTAAGTATCTGCACAATTTCAGAAACCATATCCTGTTCAAATCATAGTAGTAAATACTATTCCTCACCTCGAAATGTGGCTATAGACTCATTAAGTAACAAGATCACAGAGTTCTGATGTGGTAAGTCCTTGAGTTAATCCATACCTATCTGATACAGAATTCCCACCTCTCCATCAGGTCATTTTAAAAAATGAATATTAAAGCAATTCAGAATTTAACCTCTCTCTGATGATTCAAAACACAGTTTAGAAAGATGGGTCATTTCTTTCTCTATAATAGAATGAAGTAAAGGTCAATGATGACCTAAGGATGTCAGGAAATGAAAGAAGCTGAAGAAATTCATGGTTGATGATCTCTATTAATGCAGAGGATGAGGAATTTAGAATGTCAAACAAGAAAATCTGTTTTATTTTAAGGGTTCATCCTTAAAAATAGTAATTCTGGAGAGGATATTAAGCTTTGTGATTCAGATGCCATGTCATATCAGAAGAGCTAGAGTTTGATACTTGTGTCTCCAGCTCCTGACTCTAGCTTCCTGCTAATGCAGACCCTGGAAGGCAGTGCAAATGACTCAAATAGTTGGCTGCCTGCCAACTAGGCAAGAGATATGAGTCTCAGACTTCCAGCTTCAGCCCAAGCTCAGGAGTGGGGGGAGGGCAGGGCATTGCCAGCATTTGGGAACAAACCATTGGATAGGAAATCAATCTCTCCTCCTAATTTCTTTTTTTAAAAATAGTAACTCTCAACAACTAACTTCCACTTGTCTCAATTCCTTAGATCTTATCATATTCCATTTTAAATCTATAAGACAGTTGAGAGAGCAGTTAAATCATATAACTTTCACCTGGATTAAACTCACTGTTAAAAACTTGCCACAAGCTGCCAGATCTATTTCTTTACATAAATGATTTTTGGCTCAACAACTTTAAGGTAAACTATATACTTTATTAAAACAGCATAACATGTATCTTCTAATAATAAAAGTATTTTCCTAAATAATAACTGTCACAACTAGAAAAAGGAACACCCTTAATATCATTTACTATGTAGTTCATATTGTGTTTTTAGTCATCCTAAATAATGTCTTTTTGATTTTTGATACATTATCTATGGTTAACAAGGTAGACTTAACTGTTGTAAATGATTTCAGGCCATTCCTTCATATATTATTGTTTTGAATTTTTTTGTCATTGTGACCAAATTTTTGAAGAGTCCAAGCCATTATCTTTCAGAATTATCTCAAATGTAGAATTTTCTTCTGATTATACTCAGGTTAAGCAATTTTGTGAAGAGTACTACATCACATTTCAGAATCTCTCACATGTATAATGTCTGATTATTTTCTTATGATTACATTCAACTTAAACACTTTTGTTAAGAATGATAAATAAGTGATATTGCATACTAATCATGTCAGATCAAAAGATTCACATCAAATTACTCCATTACCGGTGAGGCTAAGCTGTATTTCTTCACTACAGTGATACATACCAGATAGATCTTTGTAAATTTGTCATTTTTTAAAAAAAATTTATTTATGTCTATCCGAAAGTCAGATATACAGAGAGGAGAAGAGACAGAGAGGAAGATCTTCCATCCAATGATTCACTCCCCAAGTGGCTGAAATGGTAGGAGCTGAGCTGATCCGAAGCCAAGAGCTTCTTCCAGGTCTCCCATGCGGTGCAGGGTCCCAAGGCTTTGGGTCGTTCTCAACTGCTTTCCCAGGCTACAAGCAGGGAGCTAGATTGGAAGCGGGGTTGACGAGACATGAACCAGAGCCCATATGGGATCCAGACATTTGCAAGGTGAGTATTTTATTTGGTTGAAAAAAAAATAACTCAGTAACTCACAATTTGTGCTAGTACTGTTTTTCTGCTAAGGAATGACTAGCAGTTGAAACAACCTATGAATGAGGCAGGGAATTAAGATCAGAGTAGCAACTACAGTCCTGGAACAAAGGGTTAAAAGTATTAAAGATATTACCTGCCACACTCACATCCCCTGTCTGAGAACCTGTTCAAGTCATGGCTCCCTATGCTGCTGGGAAAGTGGCACAGGACAGTCCCTGGGCCCCTGCTGCCCCTGAGGAAGACTCAGAATTCCAGTCATTTGGCTTTGACTAGGACTGTGGCAGACATTTGGGGAGTGAATCAGCAGATGGAAGACATCTTTCTGTATCTCTCCTCTCCATCTTTAAAATAAATCATTTTTAAAAAATATCCAAGTAAACATAATAAAAGTATTCTGATGAACTTGTTTATTAAAAAAGGATTTACTGGAACTCCCATTTCCACATAGCTGCTGATATAGCTCTGAATCCTCCAGTAGTCATTCATTTCTGCACCTTCTGGTACAGTGGAAAGTCTCCAAAATAGGATGAAGGAGGCAGAAGAAAGAATCTCCGAATTAAAAGATATTTCCTGTTACCAGGGGGAAACAAAAAAAAGCTGGAAGCAGAGCTGGATCAGGCCAAAAAAAGTATTCAAGAATTAAGAGACACTATTAAAAGGCCAAAGAAGAGAGTTATGGGAGTCCCAGAAGGTGCAGAAAGAGAAACTGGGTTTAAAAATGTATTTAATGAAATAATAAGGGAAAATTTTCCTAATCCAGGGAAAGAATTGGGAAGCAACATCCAGGAGGGGCACAGAACTCCCAACAAGCTTGACCAAAAGTGATCTTCACCAAAACACATGATAATCAAGCTCTCTTCAATTGAACATAAGGAAAAGATCCTGAAATGTGCACATGAAAAAAATCAACTGACATATAAAGGAATGCCAATTAAACTCACAGCTGGCCTCTCACAGGAAACTCTACAAGCCAGAAGAGTACGGAGTGACATATTCCGGATTCTAAAAGCAAAAAATTTCGGCCCAGAATAACGTACCCAACAAAGCATTCCATTGTCTTTGAAAATGAAATAAAATTCTTCCACAACAAGTAAGAGCTCAAAGAATATGCCTTTTCCAAACCTGCCCTACAAATGATACTCTTGACAGAGAAGAGGAATAGCGCCCATCAAAACCAAAGGAAAATGTGAATAATCTCCCATTAAAATAACAACAGAAGACTAAATCAATGAACAATCCATTGCTAAAATGACAGGACCAAATTACCATCCATTAATATCAACCCTGAATGTAAATGGCTTAAACTCATCAATCAAGCATCATAGATTAGTAGACTAAATTACAAAAAAAAAAAAAAAACCCAATATCTATTTGTTGTCTACAGATGACATATCTCACCAACAAAGATCAGGGAAACTGTATCTCATGGAATTTGATTTTTTTTTAAGTTTCACCTTCAAAACACATGCTTTCTCATTAAATTCTTCAATGCCTCATAGATCATACAGTAGCATCATTTTCTTCAAGAAAGGTTCTTGATTTTCTTTTTCATTTCTTCAGCAACACATTAGTCATTTGATAGCATGTTATTTAACTTCATGGCGTTGTTGATTTCTTTTCACTTCCTGTTGTTGATTTTGTTTTGTGGCTTTTCATTTAAGGCAATGTACAGTAATTGTGTAATGGAGACTACCATATCCCAATGAAACTGTTTACTATATTTTGACAATAGGATGCTAGATTCCCTGCCATTGTCTATGCCCACAATGATGGACACATGACTGTTTATGAAAAACTATACTATAGTAATAATACAGGGGAACTCAATGAAGAGGTGGGGGCTGGGCAGGAGTGAGGGATATCCCAGGGCCTATGTAACTGTGTCATAACATGACAACAATAATAAAAAGAAGCAAAATTTAAAAAAAAAGAAATAAAAAGATTTCTTTATTTATTTGAAAGGTAGTTACACCGAGACTAGGCCAGGCTGAAATTAGAAACCTGGAATTTCACCCTGGTGTCCCACATGGGTGACAAGTGTGCAAACACTTGAGCCATCTTTCACCGCTTTTTCATGTGCACTAGCAGAGAGCTGGGTCACAATTGGATCTGCTTATAGTTGAACCGGCATTCGTATGGGATTTCACCTTCACAAACGGTAGCTGAACCCACTCTGCCACAATGCCAGCATCTGTTCAAATATTTTACATGGTGGTTTCTATCATTCTTTTTCTAAGTTGTAACTAGCATTCCAGTTCTTTCTCTCTCCCTCTCTCTCCCTCTTTCTCTGTGTATCACTGTGAAGTAAGCATTCCTTTTTCCCGCCAGAATCCATTACTATTATCACTATTTTTAACAAACCATCATAATGTGGCCAGTGGGAGTCTCTTCAAACATAATCTGACTTCCTGATACAACTGCCTTAGTCTTTGAACTATGCTTGCTTTCTTGGATAAAAATCTCTTGTTTTTTCCCTACCTGTGGTCTGAGATTAAACAGTTCCCTACAAGACTCGGTTTATTTTAGTTAATAAGATCTGGGTGCTGGGTACATCCATTGCTACTAGGGTGTCATTGTTTCTTGCTCTTGTGTTTATAAGGGAATAGGAATCCGTCACTGACATCTGTAATCCAAACTCCTGATGCAAATACAAGAGAAAGGAGAAATAATTCCCATCTCTTTCAATGAAAATGCTTTTATGTTACAATTAATATACCTATGCATTTGCTTAACTCAGTCATGTATACCAAATGATATCATAATTTTAAAATGATAAATTTATATGAATATTTAAGATTTCTTTTCAGTTCTTTTTATCAAGATGATAACCTAATAATATCCAAAAATACTGTGTTCAAAAGTCATTTGAATGGAGTGACTGTTATAAATTAGTTAATGTTTGTTTGGTTTCACTATGTATTTAATCTGGATTTTGAATTTCTACCCATTATTTACATACTACTTCTAATTTTTGAGTATATAAAACATTTACATGATCCCAAAGTCAAAACTATCTAAAAAGGAATATTTGGATAAGTTCTGCTTATATTTCTATTGCCTAGTTCCCATTTATTCACTATTTTCATTAATTTCTAATTTATCCTTCCTTTATCATATAGTTCTTTAAGACATATATATTATAGGAGTGTCACTTATTTCATTATATATATATGTATATATATGTATATGTGATTATACACATAATATAAGTTAAGTGTGGTTATGGAACACACAATCCACATTTCCTACCTGAAATTCGTAACATTTCATATACAAATAAATGCCTACCTGCATTTTGAGCAATCCACTGCAAAGAGCACTTATTAGCATTCACAATTTTGTAGATTTGCTGGAGCTAAGAATACATATAAGACTTTTAGATTATATTTATTATGATGTGATAACCAAATATTAGGTGTAATTAATTAGCAAATAACATTTAATTTTTCGGTAACATATGAACTGAGAATATACCAAATAACAATAGATTTGTATGCTATTTCAAATTTGTAATGTTCATTACCTTTATACTTGTTTGATATAATTATTTTATAATTATTAGCAATCAGATACCAATAATTTGATAAAAAAAATGACCGTCATAGTACAAAATAAAAAAGGTTAAGAGACATTTCACAAGAAAAAAAAATCATATAAAAATTAAAACCAGCACCATCTATCAACAACAGAAGTTTTTTTAAAAAAATGGATAGTTACACTCAGTTGTCAAGAACAGGTTTAGTATCTCTGGCTGAAATACTCAGGAATAAAAATATTTCATTTATTCAAATTTTGCAGTATCTTGCATATGCATAATTAGAGATATTTTAAAAGATTTTTTTTATAGTAAAGACAAATATACAGAGAGGAAAGCGAGAAAGATCCTCCCTCTGCTGGTTCACTTCCCAAGTGATTGCAACTGCCAATGCTGAGCCAATCTGAAGGAGCCAGGAGCTCCCACACACGTGCAGGATCCCAAGGTTTTGGGCCATCTTCTACTACTTTCCCAGGCCACAAGCAGGTGGATGAATGGGAAGTGGAAAAGCTGGGACATGAACCAGCACCCATATGGAAAACCAGCATGTGCATGGCGAGGATTTAGCCACTGAGCCAACAGGCCAGACCTTGCATATACATAATGAGATATCTTGAGGATAGGAACCAGAGCTAAATACAAATTCATTAATGTTCCATATACATTTTATACATAGTCCGAAAGCAATTTTATTTAAAAAAACAGTATTTCAAATTTATCTGCATTTAAAAAATTTATTCATTTATTCAAGAGGCAAAGAGACAGAACTTTCATTCATTGATACACTTGTCAAATACCCAAAATGATAAGACTGGGTCAACTCACAGCTGGGGAGTCAGAAACTCAATTTAGGTCTCCCACATGGGTGGCAGAAACCAATTACTTGAGTCATCACATCCTGACCCCAAAGGGTCTGAAATGGCAATAAGCTGAAATAGGGAGCTTCAACTGGGAGTCAAATCCATACACTTTAATATGGTATCTTAACCACTTGGCCAAACACTTGCCCCTGCATTTGATCATAAACAGGCTTATAAGAGGTCAGTCATGTAATTTTTCACTTGTGGTATATCCTGCAAGTGCTCAAAAATCCAGATTTTCAAGCTTTTTTATATTTTATATTTTCAGATTACAGATGTGGGAAAAATAAGCACATTCATAAACAGCCAATAGTAGCATAGATTGACTTAACCTCGCAACCTTTCAAAATGTATATTTTAATAATATATCCAAAATTTTAAAAATATTCATACCTTTTGACTATATATTTGATTTCTAGGAGTCTATCCAGAGGAAATAATCAAATCTAAATATAGGCCCTGGTGTGATGGCTCTATTGAATAATCCTCCCTCTGCAAGCACAGGGATCCCATATCGTTTCCCGGCTGTTCCACTTCCCATCCAGCTCCTTGCTTATGGCCTAGGAAAGTAGCAGAGATGGCCCAAATCTTTGGGACTCTACACTCACATTGGAGACTAGGAAGAATCTCCTGGCTCTTAGCTTTGGATTAACTCAGCTCTGGCCATTTGGCCATCTGGGGAGTGAACCAGTGAATGGAGGATCTTTCTGTCTCTCCTCTCTGTAAATCTGCCCTTCCAGTAAAAGTAAATAAATCTTTTTCAAAAAAATTTTAAAATCTAAGTATAAGTGATAATTAGGGGCTGGCAGCATGGCATAGTAGGCTAAACTTCCATCTGTTATGCTGGAAACCCACGTAGGTACTGGTTTGTGTCCCCACTGCTCCATTCCAGATCAAGTTCGCTGATAATGGCCTGAGAAAGCAACACATGATGGCCTGGGTTCTTGGTCCCCTGCACCCATGTGGCAGTCCCAGAAGAAGCACCTGGCTTCAGACTGGCTCAGTTCCAGCACTGGAGAGTGAACTAGCAAATGGAGAACATCTCTCTATGTCCCTCTCTTTCTGCAATTCTTGCCATTCAAATTAAATAAAAAAAAAAACTTAAAAAGTAAATGTCACTGATAATAAATGGTCTAAATGGTTATATTGGCCCACAATTAGAAACAATATCTCCAGCAAATGAAAATGATTATATTTTATGATGTCACAGCTGATGAAATATGATAACAGCATTAAAACTTGGGTTTTTGCAGAACTGTTAAAATATTTTGAAAAAATCATGAAAGAACCTCTACTGAAAATACAAAAATCTAAATAAATGTGCTTCCAGCCAGTATTGTTTGAAACAAAAATAATTATTTTTAGCAGCAAATCAAAAGTAGTAGAAAGGACATATAGAAGTGTATCAATAGGATGTTGATAAAACAGGTGACTTGACTTGCTTTTTTTTCACAGATTTTATGATAAAATGTGACTGAGTAACACAGAGCACAAGTCAGGCTTGTTAACCAAAATTTTATATATTAGGTCATCTCCCATTTCTCCTAAAGAACAGGAAAACAAAAACAGGGATAAATTCTAACACTATGAATATTAGAACATACTACTGCTACTTTTCTGCTTTGGTATTATGGTCCACTGTTATGAAGCTCTGCTGATCTGGTTACAATAAATTATCTACAGGAATATGATTGCCCAGCAAAATGTTTCTGCTTCCTGTCCAATTATCTATCCTAAGAAAACAGATGAGTTGCTGATCTCTTATCATCAAGCAATTCACTAATCTTTTGAACACCCCAATCACTACTACCAGGAAAAACAAAAAAGATTTAAATCATTTACTGTCTATTACTAAAGTAAAACCGGGACCAGCATTGTGACACAGCAGGTAAAGCTGGTGCCTGCAATGTTGGCATCCCACAAGGGCTATGATTCCTGTTCTGGCAACACAAGCTCCAATCCAGCTTCCCGCTAATGGCCTAGGAAAAGAAGTGGATGGTCCAAGTATCTGAGCCCTGCCGCCCACATGGGAGACCTGAATGAATCTCCTGGTTCCTGGCTTTGACTGAACATTCTGGCTTCCCTTTTTCTATGTCCCTCCTCAGTTTCTCTCTTTCTGTGTAACTCTGCCTTCCAAATAAATACATCTTCAACACAAAAATAAAGTAAAACAATCCAGAGCTAAGTAGAAAAAAAGGGGGGGGGGGCAAGGTAGAATTTACAGTCCCGTTTTATTTTATTGAAAACAGTTAGTATTGATTCAACATGAACTAGATATCAGCCTTGCTTCATGTCTAAATCTGCACGTATTTATCTATGCATCAAAACTCTATCACAATGATGTTTTGAAATTTTAATGGTGATCTAATATTTCATTTAAGCAAAATCTCTATTTTTAAAATCTAAATCATCTGTGTCAACATAAAATGAGATGGTATCATGGATAATCTGAGTAGTATTTGACTTTGCTCAACTTTAAATTCATCTAGAGAATGGCATCTTTTTTACAGCTAGAAAAGACTTGAAGATCATGTAGTTTATTGTTGACATTTTGCAAAAAGAACCAAGGCCCAGAGAGATTAAATAGCTTAAAATCTTAATGCTTTCTCAACTGTAACATGCTGTCTGTATAATTTAAAAAGTTAATAATGTACATATAAACAAGAACTGTCTGGATACAATTGGACAGAGTTTACCAAAGAATAAAAACCACTTATTTTTAAAAGATTTGTTCTATTTTTTTTATTGGAAAGTGTATGTTTGTGTAGCACTCATTTGTCACCACCTATGCATATCCTGCCTCATTCTTAATTATAATTAACCAAGAGAAAGTACAATAGAAACTCTTATAATGAAAAATTTTTATGATTTATTTTTATAATTTCTAACATGGCATGGGAATAGGAAAGAAGACTCCATTTAGTTGCTAAAAGTGAAAAACTTGGAGGAATAAACTCTTCAACTAAAATAGTCATATAGGAAAAGGTGGAAAAGCATAATCCTTTTATACCACCAAAATGACTCACAGCAATTCAACTCTAGCAAGTCTGAGTTGCTTTTTCCATGACATAATACATTTGTATTATGAGCTAATCAGTTTTCTATGGAACAGGTAGAAACCTAATAACTATATTCAACAAAGTTGCTATGGAAAAACACGTGTTAAGTCTCAAATATTTGATTTATCAAACATTTAGGACATAATCTAATGATTAATTAGGGATGGCCTGGATATTCTAACTAAGAGATACTTGACATTTATACAAATAAGAAAATAGACATGCAAAAGAAAAGAATAAACTAGCTAATCGGTAAGTTAACAGAAAAATAAGCACAGGGATATATTTATGTGAGGAACAAGGAAGTAAATTTTGAAAGTTTTTGTAACAAAGCTGTTTTTCACCCTCCTAGGAGTAACCACACAAATCTTACAATGTTTTCTGCCTCCAAAGATTTCCTGCCCCACTAATGAGGTACAAGAGCGTCCTATCTCTAGAGGCACAGGGGACAGGACAAGGCAAAGACCTAACAGAACCAGAGAATGGCATTTTCATATTAAATCCTGGTTGTCTAAATACACAAAGTAGTAAACATACCGGATCAGTAGCATTATCAGGAATTTCAAATGCGTTCAGGTGGTTAATGATGTCCTCGAGATCTTTGGACATTTGTTTCAGCTGAACATCTATATTCTGTGCTAATCTGTAACTGAAAAGATAGGTAAAATTGATGAATAAGAAGTCTCTTCACTCTTTATATACACACACATATTCATACACACACATATTGCTATTGTTATTACATACAAAGCTAATACTGCCAACTGAATTTGTTCTAATTTCTCTACTTTCTTGGAAGGTCTGAGTTATCATCAACAGTACATTTTCATGAATGCAACATTCATGGTATTGATAATATCATTAATATCATATTCTAAAAAGACCCCAAAGATGAAGGTTTTGTCCATTTTGCTATTTTTACTGTTACCTACTTACCTACTTACTCTCAGGAGAGCTCTAAAGTAAAGTAATTCTTTTTAGGTTGGTACTATTCAATGAACAATGAAATGTCTTCCATGTTCTTAAATACATAGATTTTCAGTCGATATACAATATCAAGCAACAAAAGGTATTTGAGAAGTGAGCTTTATGATAATCAAAGGCAGATATCTCAGATTCCAGATTTCATAAATCAGTTAGTTGTCTAAGGTCTTATGATTTTCACCTGCCCTGTGAACACACACTCATGTGTGCACATGCACCCAATCCATGAATATTTTTATGAAAATTAAAATTGGTCAAGAGGATTTTTCAACCTTAATGTCTACAAAGATGAAACGAGTCAATCAATTTATAACTACCCTTTAAAAGGTACATGGTTGCTTAGACTGCTGCAGACTCTGGTGAAGATTTTATCACAATATAAATCTGACTGCAGAAGAGCAACTGATGTTCCACAGACTTCTTTTAAATTATAATTCGGAAGAGAAGTGGTATGGAGGGAAATGACTTCATTTAATAGAGTATATACAGAAAATTCAAGTTTTGTTTGGGATTTCATAAGCTTGATAAATATATGTTTTAGCTATTCAAATTTGTCTCTTGGAATAGTTGCAAACAAAAAGATGTAATTATGTATGGTTTGAAATAGATCATATGAAGCATGTAATATCAAGAATTGCTATTTTGCAATGTTCCCTTAAACAAGATTGAATTTACTTTTGAGCTCTAGTCTTGCATACGCTGATGACCTCTAAACCCTGCTCAGATAAACAAAGCATGATGTTTTAATATTGTAGAAACAACACTGTCAAAAATTGAACTAAGATGTATTTTTCCATAGTTGCTATATAATATCCAGCTATAAATAAGCAGCTTCCATGATGCAAGTCAGCAGGTAAAAGTAAAAGCTGCAGCCTTCAAACAGATTACAGGATTCACCTAGTCTCACCCTGGGAGAGGTTATCAAGTTGCTATAGATTCTAGCAAGTTTTGAGAAAGATTATCTTTGCTTAGGTTATAGGTTCCTTATATAATTACAGTGCAGAATACTTAGCTGTTTGTGTAAGTCTTTCTTAGGAAATCTGAAATTTCAAAAATTATCCAAGTCCTGCCAGATTAAGGGTCCATTGTAGAGCTGAAATCTGAGTTACGCTGCAAGATTTTTTTAAATCATGCTGTCATTTTTAATATGTTTTTCTGAAAATCCTTGGAATTAAAGTTTTGGTTACAAAAAATGAAATACAATTAGGATCACACAGCTAAAAATGTCATTCTATATATTGCAAAATGATAAAATGCATAGGAAGCAATGCAAAGAACAGAAAAATCCACAGAAGCAGAAATACTAAAGTAGAAACAGAACTAGAATTATAGAGATTAGCTGTACTTACCATACCTAATGTCCCTACAAAAAGAGTAAATTGCAAGCCTTTTAAAAATAAGCTTAGTGTTAATTCACTAATGAACCACTGATAAAAAAAAGAGTAGTCTCAATCCAGATTGTGTAATGCATTCATACAAGTTCTAGCACTTTATAAATTGACTTAATTATCAGATCTCAGTTTTGGAGAAAAAAAGTTATTGTGGGAATACTGGCACTATAGCAACAGAAGGTAAATGCAGAATATTACACACAAATAAAATATAAATAGCTGAAGACACTGACAAAAATTTCTATTTTGACAGTTATACAATATGGCCATAGATACACAAATTAACTTTAATATAACAAATGATTTATTATTAAACAAATGTATCAATATTAAATTTAGAAGATTTGACATCAATAGATCACAAACATCCAGTAATAAAGACAAACTGGACAAGTATAAAGATTTATAGTGAATATGTGTAAGTTTAGTAAATATGTAAAAGGGCAAAAAAACAAAATTTCCAGTCATTTTCTTCATTTTAAAGCATCTAGAAAACAATAAACAGAAAACAAATAAATCAGTAAAGTCAACTGTAAGAAACCCTCGTTTTCTATCAATTTTTATTCTGCGCCTTCTAATTAAACTCTCCATCCTCCCTGTTTGGAATGCTTTCATATTACATAAGTCCTGCCCCATTCCTTGATTTTTATTCAGTGACTTACATCCTCTCATGCTCCTCTTGTGTATGCTGAAGAGAAACAGATCCCTGTTGCTTCTCCACAGCTTTCTCCAAAGGAGTCAACACATCTTCCAGCTCCTCCTGCTCTGACAGGATAATGTTCAGTTTTTCTTCCAACCTGAGTAAAACATGTCAATAGAAGGGCTAATCAAACTGATCAAAAAAGTGATTAGTGTATATTCTTTTAGTCTAGGTCAATCTAAGGTTCTACCTTTTCTGAGCCAGTTTCACTTTTTGCACCTCTTCATGCAAAGCAATAATCTACAAAAAATATATAAAAATATAATAAAGTCAGAGTGAAATGTATTTAATAATTTTAACACAATATTAATTTTCTCAAATACATTCCAAATATGAAATTCAAGGCTCTAAGAATCTAAGGAAAGTATCCTAATGTTTCTCATAAATGCAAGCATAGAACATTACCTCCCAAAATAACCAGGCATATTCTCTTGCAGGCATCTGAAAATGTAGGTAGATTAATGGAATACGTTCCTACCTTCTCAGTATTTTCAATCAAGATGTGGTCCCAAGCATTGACTAGCATGGCTTGAAAAAGAAACTGTTTATCTTGTTCCTCTAGATCAAGGCTCCACTGGTTCACCAGACCCCCCAGGTGTCCATATGTCATCACGGGAGTTGTTATTGAACTAAAAAGTAAAATGATGCAGTAGAATCATATAGTCATACTATTATAAGTATGGCCATATTTTTTAACGAACAACATCAAGAGGATTCTGAGAAGAAAATGGCATGTCAAGAGTTTCTCATACTTGCTGCCCAGCAAAATGACCATTACTGGTAAAGATGACAGAAACATAACAGTCATTAAAATCTCTAGTGATTATCTTAAGGGAATATAGTAAATAAGGATTTATCAATAGAATGTTAAAGCTCTAAGAGCTGAAGACTGTTCCACAGTCTGCTCCCTCTCTATCACCAATCCCAGCTGTAAGGTTGGAAGAAGTTTCCTTGTAGGTGGATAGGGTCAATGAGATAGAACTTTTTCTCCCTCCACTTCTTGGTCAAAGTAATACATTCCTCCACTATCTGTGTAGTTTTAACAGAGTGGGTCTCCTCAACAGGGTGGAACCATGTGAAACTCCCAATTCCATTGCCAAGTGGTATTAAAAAAGTTGAGTAGCTAGCTGATCTTTGATCCCATAGTCAGTGGACCCAAGCCATTTTCTAAATCTGCGATGGGGAACTGTTGGTAGGGCTCACTGAGAAGGTAATCATCACAATTCCAGCCCTAGCAGAAGCAGGCAGTACTCCAATTTTCCCAGCAGGGTACTGTCTATAGGCTCTAGGCTGAATCTTAATCTCCACCAAGCAGCAATAAAACTCAAGTTAATGATGCAGAGTGAAGCAGACTTGGTCTCCAGTAGGCTTCTGTCCTTGCCTCTGGTGTCAATAGTAAATAGTGCAGGATTGAACATCTATGCCCATCTGCCTGTCATTAAGACTGAACAAGGGATTCATTAAGACTGAATTTGGGATTAGCAAGGACTCAACTTCCCATTAGCCCCAGGGACAGCAAAGTTCCATGGATGGCTTGATTTCTTTACCCATGGATACAACCAAGGCAGGACAAAGAAAGGTTAAGTAAGTACTCTGTCTCTCTTCTCCACAAGTCTTGTGTAAGCACAACCCAGTAGAGTGCTAAGCCTTCATACCAACTCATCATTAATGAGGCTGAATGACGTGATTTGAGATAGAGTAGTTCATGCCCCATTTCTCCTTGCATGAGTGGCATACAACAGGAAACTGGTTTTGCCTCTACCAGCAGCAACTAAGAAGTATGGATCAGGTCTCCATTGCCCCTTGGTTTAGGGTTGCAGGGGCCAGGTGAACACTGAGCTTTCATCTCAAATTAGAAGCAGTGATACAGTGCTTGTACCTCCACGAGGAATTAGTCAGTGGGACTAAGGCAATGGCTAAATGACCATATCATCCACATGCGTTGATGCAGTGTGTGTCACTGTTGTTCATTTACTGGGGTGATGTAGGCAAAATATAGAGGCAATATGAACACACAAACACACACACATACCTTGCACTACACCTCAGAAAGGGAACTGACTGAGGGGGAAAATGTAAATAGAAATCAAATTCTCCTAACATAATAGACAAAATATCTTGGATACAATAAAATACTAACCATCACACAAGTAACCAGAAACATCACAAGTCAGAAGAGCAAAGATAATCAAGGGATGCTAACACTGACAAATACCAGATGTTGGAATTATCCAAAAAGAATTTTAAATCAATCATCATAAAGAAAGACAAGCATTTTTGAATTCTTTCAAACAAATGAAAAAGCATTAAAATTTCAGGAAAGAAATGGAAGTCATGCAAAACGACCAGCTATTAAATATAAAACTTAAAAACAAAATAACTGAAATAACAAGCTTATTGGAAGGATTTAAACTTAGAGAAGAGCTGTCAGAAGATAAAAATCAGTGAACCTGAGGACCACAAAGAGAACATAGGCAGAAACAAATAAAAACTTATCTCAATAATCTGGAAGACAATAATAAAAATGTAAAATAAGATTTCCACAAACAGAAAAGAGAAGGGAACCAAAAAAAATACCCAAAAAAGTTTAAACCAAGTCTCCCCGTCCATCATTGTGGTATAGTTGGTAAAGCCACCTCTGCAATGTTAGCATCCCACATTGGTGCTGTGTTATCTCCCATGTGCTGGCTACTGAACTTCCTAGCCGGCTGCTCTGATAACTGCCTTGAAAAAGGAGTGGAAGATGCCTTAAATCTTTGGGCCCCTGTCACTCAGGTGACAGACCTAGAAGTTGTTTCTGGCTCTTGGCTTTGGCTTGGCAGAATTCTGGCCATCATGGCCATCTGGGTAGTAAACCAATACTGGAATATTCTCTCTCTCTCTCTGTAGCTGATTTTCAAAATAAATAAATAAATCTTTAAAAGTCCCCATATTTGGCAAAAGATATCAACCAACAGATTCAAAAAACGGAACAAACTCCAAGTAACTCAAACAAATCCATGCTAAGGTACATAATAATTAAACTTCTGGAAACTTTAAAGAAAAAAATATTGACAGCACCAGAGAAACAAAATGCATTACTTAAAAGTGAGCATTAATATGAATTACAGCACATTTCTCATCTAAAAGCATGGATGCTATATGAAATAAACACATTTTACAAGCACTGGAAGGACAAAAATATTGACAATGACTTCTATTTCTAGGGAAAACATCATTTGTAAATAAGGAAGAAATAAAGATATGTTCACACAAAGTCTAATCAAAATCATTAGCTGTCAAAAAAACCTACCCTGAAAGGTTAGCTAAACAGAAAGAAAACAAAAAAGAAGGCTTAGAACATCATCTAAAGGAAAGAATAACATCAACAGGTTAATAATAACAGGTTAAATGCAGGGCTAAATATACTATTCTAGTAAGTTTCTTAAATCATATTTGATGGTTGAAATGTAACAAAAATTACATTTCAATGTTATATGATGCTCAATGTACACAGAGGAAAAATTTAAGATGGTTATACTTCAAGCGGCAAGGAGGTTAAAGGAAATTAAGTGAAAATAAGGTCTCCAAGCTTTACCCAAAGTATAAACTGTTAATACAACTAGATTGTTTTAACTTATACATATATATTGCAATACCTAGGACAAAAGTTTGTAAGACAAAATAAAAATATATTAGAAAGCACTAGTCCGAACACAATGAAACTCTAATACAATATTCAAACAGCCAATAGGAAGGTTTTAAAAGAGAGAGAGAGAAACACAGTAAAAATCAGAGATAACGAATAGAAACACTAAAATGGCAGACTTAAATCCTAACATGTCTGTAATTATCACACAAATAAATGTGATAAATATGCCAATTAAAAGAAAAAAATTAGCAGAGTGGTTAAAAATCAATTCAACAATACACTGTTCATGCAAAGTTCAGTTCTAACATATAATGATACAAGTAGGTTGAAAGTAAAAGGATGGAAAATATGTGTATCCTACAGGATTAATTTTCTACAGGAAATGACAATATCAATATCAGATAAACTAGACTATAAGTCACAAAATTATTACTGCCAGAGATAGACATTACATAATGACAAACTAATTAAGGCATCAGGAAGGCTAGCAATCCTAAATGTTTAGGAACAAAATAGTAAGAGACTTGGAGCACGCATATGGCCTGGTAGTTCAGATAGTTAAGATGCCCACAAGAGTACAAGGGTTCAATGCTGAGCTCCAGTTCCTGATTCCTGCTCCCTACTAATGTGGACCCTAGGGAAGTAGTGATGATGGCTGAAAAGAATCGGAGTTCTGTCATGAAAGTAATAGATCTGGATTGAGTTCCTGCTTTCCTGTTTCCACCTGGCCCATCTGCAGGTATTCCTGGCACCTGAGGAGTGAATCAGTAGATAAGATATCTCTCTCTGTCTCTTATAATCAATCAATAAACAAAGAATTGTGTTAAAATACACACACAGACAGCCTTAAAAATATGGAAGAGGGGCTGAAAGGGTGGCATAAAAATGTAATCCTCTACCTGCAGTGTAGGCATTCCATATGGGCACTGGTCGTGTCCCAGCCACTCCACTTCCCATTCAATCATTCAGCTCCCTGTGTATGGCCTGGGAAAGCAGTGGAGGATGGCCTAAAGCCTGGAGTCCCTGTACCAGACATAGGAAACCCAGAAGAAGGTCCTGGATCCAGCTTTAGACTGGCCCAGCTCTGGCTGTCACAACCATCTGGGAAGTGAACCAGTAGATGGAAGAGATCTCTCTCTCTCTCTCTCTCTCCCTTTCTCTTCCCCCTTTTTGTAACTTTGGGTTTCAAATAAAATAAATATTTAAAAAAATATGAAACCAAAAGTGATACAGCTAAAACAAAATTAAACAAAAACACAAAAGCAGTTTTTAAGTGTCCATGGCAGATCATATCTTCAGGTACAAAGCAAACCTAGACAAACATAAAAAAACTCAAATCATATAGAACATCCTTTCTGACCATAATGGAGCCAAATTAGACATTAATATGGAAAGGAAAAAAATCTCAAAAGATTTGGAAACTAAACAACATACTTCTAAATGACACATGGGTCAAACAGGAATTTTTACAAAAGAGAAAAAAAAATAAACAGCCAGAACAAGTTTACTGAAGGAGTCAACTTGAGAAGGGCCGGCTACCAATATGAACACAGGATGAATGTGTAGCATGTGGCAGAGAGTCACAAAAGAAATTTTAAGTATATAGAACAGAATGAAATCACAACAAAACAAGACATATGGAATACAGCTAAGGTAGTGCTGAGAGATATTTATAGCATTGAACGTTTCTATTATACAACAGAAACGCTCTCAAATCAATAGTCTAAATTTACACCTCAAACTAGAAATAAAATAAACTCAGTACAACCAGAAAGATGTAAGAAAGTAGGTATAAATAAGAATCGGAAATGTGAAAGCAACACCAGCAGAGAATAATCAATATAACACAAGTAGGTTCTTCAGAAAATGATCAATAAAATTTATCAAAGGAAACCACAAACTACCAATACCATAAATGAAACTGGAATATGCTTACAGCTATTAAAAATGCAATAAGGGAATAATAAGGACAACATTACAATAATAAATTCTACAATTTAGAAGAAATGGGCCAATTTCTTGAAAAATTTAACACTGCTGAAATTCATGCAAGAGGAACTAGATAACATGAACAGTGTAAGAACAACTTAAAAAACTTACTTGTATTTTAAAATGTCCTGTAGGGCCTGGCACGATGGCTCCGTGGCTAAATCCTCACCTCACATACGCTGGGATTCCATATGGGTGCCGGTTCATGTCCCGGCTCCTCCATTTCCCATCCCTCCCTGCCTATGGCTTGGGAAAGCAGCAAAGGACAGCCCAAGGTTTGAGACCCTGCGCTCACATGGGAGACCTGGAAGAGGTTCCTGACTCCTGGCTTGAGATCCGCTGAGATCCAAGCACTGTGGCCACTTGGGTAGTGAACCACTGGACAGAAGATCTTTTTGTATCTCCTTCCCTCTGTAAAGTCTGCTTTCCAATAAAAATAAATAAATTTCTTTTTTAATGTCCTGTAAAATATCTAGAACTATCTAGGACCAGAAAGTTTCACTGGAGAATTCTGCCAACATTTAATGAATCAACACAAATTTTATATAATGTTTTCTATAAAACGAGAAAATCAAATCTTTGCAAGATCCTGTTATAAAGCCAGTGTTATTCTGATGTTAAAACCATGAACAGGAAATTTTAAAAATCACAGAAAATAATAGTAAACCAAATAATATATTTAAAAAATTATACAACATGGTCAAATGGAATTTAATTTACATATGCCGAGAGTGAATGACCACCAAAAAAAAAAAAAATCAATCAGGGAAAAAAAAATCTAGAAAGACTGGAGCAACTGAGACTGAAAAATCATGAGAGACAAATGCATCCAACTGATTTTTGACAAAGGTGCAAAAGCAATTTTACAAGTGGAAGATAGCCTTTAATCAAATGATGTTGGAAAAACTGAACATCCATAGGGGGAAAAAAGACCTCAATGTAAATTTCACACCTTTTATTTAAAACTCAAAATGGATCAGCAGCTTGAATTTAAGATATTAAACAGAATTTAAGATATTAAGACAGAAAAAAAATAGGAGAAAACCTTTGGTAAATGGGGTTAGGTAAAGAGTTCTTCATACTGAGCCGAAAGACAAAAAAACTAAAAGCTTTTGTTCAGAAAAAAAAGTTAAGAGGATAAAAATTTAAGCTCCAGAGTTAGAGAATATATTTATAAACGACATATCTAGCAAAAAACTGGTATGTAGTATATACACTAAGCAACTGAACAGTTAAAAAAACCTTTGAACATATGAATATAACTTTACCAAAGAGAATATAATGATAGAACATAAATACATGAAAAGATGTTAAGTATCAATAGTTATCAGGGAAATACAAATTAAAAACCATAATAAGATATCAGGTCACATCTATCATGAGATCTAAAATTTAAAAAATTGTTATGACAGCAAATCTAAGTGAGAACATGGACAGTCTGGCTCACTCATACTTTGCTGGTGAACATGTAAGATGTCAAAGTCACTATGGGAGAAACAACTTGGCAATTCTTTTAAAGTATAAAGATGCAACTATGATGCCATCCATATGAGATTAATGTTCTCTCTCTCTCTCTCTCTCACACACACACACGCACTATACACAAATGTTCACACCAATTTCATTTAAAAGAGCCCCAAAATTGGGAACAACCTTAGATGTCCACCAACATAGGAATGATTAAACAAACAGTAGATCCACAATATTATGGAATATTACTCAGAAATTTAAAAAAAGAACTACATGAAACAACGAAGGTGGAACTCATGAAATTACACTGAACGAAAAAAACCAATTAACCAATTCAATACCCAAGGGTTATTTGTACATAATCCCATCCATACAATATTCTTTCATATGAAGATTATAGAAATAAAGAATACAAGTGGTGTTCAGAGTCAGGGAAAGGTGGGAAGGTATTGAGTGTGGCAGTAAAACAGCAAGTGAAGTTCTTGCGGCAATTTAATTATACTATATCTTGAGTGTATCAAAGTCAATATCCTAGTATTGCAAGATTTTATCTTTGAAGGAAATGATATAAAGCACACACAGGATGTTTTGTATTATTTCTTAAAAGCACACTAAATCTATAACAATACTGAAGAAATTTAATTTTAAAAGAAATACATGTTAGGTAAGAGCATAATACAGTCTGCAATAATGCTGAATATTATTGTAAAATACAGGCAACAATGGGAAGGAGAGATGAAGAAAGGAGAAAAGGAAGGAAAGGGGGGAAAGCACTACACCTACAAAACTGTAAAAAGGAAAATAGCAATTTAAAAAGACACTGGAAAGAGAAAAAAAGTAACAATGAAGGTTCTAGAGTTCCCCTGGTTTACCCATTATCAAGTGTATGTTCACAAGCAAACTATAAAATTTAGATGTGATTTTTATGTACTGTGGTCTTGCCATCTACAAATAGGAAAAAAAATCACCTATTTCATAGGCTTATCATGAGGATTACACAATATGTTTGTAAAGCACTGCCATCTTGCTAAACATACAGTGATTTCACAACAATTTAGGCAAAGATGTACTGTTCTTCAAATTTGAAGCTACAGAGATCTTTCTCTGCTCCTTCAAGTTAGTCATTTATCTGACTTTCAAAAATAGATTACGCCTTGCATGTGACAAACAGAATGGAACATGAAATTTCAGATAAAAAACAAGCTTACTTAACAGTCGAAGTGAAAGGTACCGAACGAACACTGCCTGGGTCAGCATTAATCCAAGCTGCTGCCAGTGGTTTTACACTCAGGGCAAAACCACTGCTAACTGTAGTGGTGGTAGTGGTGGTGACAGTAGTGGTGGTTGTTGTTGCCGTTGTAGCTGGAAAACAAAATGTGCAATGTTAATAAGAAAGGAGAAACTTGTGCTTTAAGCCTTGATAATTCATGTTGATAAATACTAATGGATCCTTTGAAAATGTGGCTTTGAACTCTAAGTTGTGGATTTGAACCAAAAACTGTTTCCATATGAAGTGACACATGGCTGGCCTGGTATTTGGACTAGCCTTCCTGTTGAACTAAAACAACCTAAAATTACCTAATTGGTCTTGTAACTATTAGAGAAATACAATCAATCCTGAAAGCTCTCCCAGGAAAGAAAACTCCAGATCCAAATGACCTCCTTGCTAAGTTTCATTAAACATTCAAGAAAAAATTACAATTTGCACAAAATCTCTATACATCTGTGTCTCTGCATACTTACACGACTGTATTTCTACAATTCAGCCTAAGAAGTGAAACTACTGGATCAAAGGGTCAGCATGTTCTAAATTTTAATGTATCATGCCAAACTGCCCTACTAAAAGAATCCTTCTAATTTACATTCACTTCACAGGGGAGAGTACCTGCTTCTCTGTAGCAGTTAATCATGGGTATATAGTTCACAAACCTAATAGGCAAAATCTTTATGAATAATCCAGATGCCTTCTTCTACATGCTTTTGATCTTGCACCCCTACTAAAATGTCTTGCTCTCTATATCTAAAATCCTAAGTATCCTGCATGGCTTCAATCAAATTCTTTGTTCTGAACTCCTATATAGCACTTTTGATTTTTACAACACACGAAGAAACTAAAGAATAAAGCACCAAAAAAAATTGAGGCTGGTGGGAAATGGAAATGTTTTCTTTTTCATTCCCAATAGTTTCAAATGTTCTTACACTTAAAACGCTGCTTCTGTTACAAGAATACTTTTTGAAAAGTCATTATATGGTCACAGTTGTTTGTTTCGTTTATGTTAGCCTTGCTTTCCCAATTACCAATATTTTCAGGTTAATGGCTGTGGTAGTTAAATACATAAATCATGGTACCACCAGTCATATGCATTAATTATTTAAGAAAACTGGCCAAATCCTATTCTTGCTGAGGGAATAGGATTCGACATTCCTCTTTATTCCGGCAACTCTATGCTTTCCTTGTAGCTCAGAGTTGATTGGGCTAGGAATGTGCATGTGAAGTACAGAAAGCCATTACACATGTTATTAACCTGTGCAAAGTTTAAGGACAAAAAGCTCTACCCAAACAAGGATAAAGTGAATCAGAATCTCATTTATATTTTCAGAAATTTAGCAAAATGGTAGGAATCTAGTTCTAGGTAGACATATAGATATACTTCCAAAATATGGAAAGAATCAGACTCCAGGAAGAAATTAGGAAGTATTTCCCAAAATGTAAGAGAATACGTTTGATTAACTCATTCAAACTCTGAATAATTACTGCATTCCACAAAGAATGTTCTTTTTTAAAAAGCTTCTTATGAATTAGCATGATTTTCTAATAAACCAATCTGTATTTCTTCACATGGACAGATGCCTAAAGTTGTATGCTTTAGAAGAAGCAGCATATTTTTAAAAAATATTTATTTTATTTTCAATGGAAAGTCAGATATATAGAGAGGAGAGACACAGAGGAATATCTTCCATCCAATGTTTCACTCCTGAAGTGGCTGCAACAGCTGGAGCTAAGCTGATCTGAAGCTAGGAACCAGGAGCTTCTTCTGGGTCTCCCATGCAGGTACAGGGTCAAAAGACTTTGGGCCATCTTCAACTGCTTTCCCACTCCATAAGCAGGGAGCTGGATGGGAAGCATGGCTGCTGGGATTACAGCCTGCGCCCATGTGGGATCCCGCCATGTGCAAGGCGATGACTTTAGCTGCTAGGCTACCGTGCCAGGCCTGAAACAGCATATTCTAGGGATTCTATGCATATCTATAGCATACAACACACACACATACATATATAGCAAGAAAGATAAATAACAACTTTGAAGTTATATATATATATATATAAAGCAACTGAAACTGTCACTAGTGAAGAAACAGCCAAATAAAAACTACCCGAGGATGTTGAGCTTTGAGAAAGTAACACCTGTCAACTTAAAAATACTGTAAAGCTGAGTATTATTTAAAAAGCGAGATTACTTTTTAAACATTTTTACATATTTATTTTCCTTTATCTTTTATGCTGTTTTTCAGAGTCGTAAATTAGCTCTGGTATATTCAAATAACAATATTTCAATTAATGTCAAGAAACAGTGGTAAGTTTGAGAATAAACGTTGTAGCACAGCCTCATTTTGCAGCTCATACCTTTTGTCTAAACTAGTTAATATGGTCAATTCTCCATCATCTGTGTGGTAAACGGAAGTACAGTTTCATAAAGAATAACCAAACAGAGCCTGGAACTGTAGCCTAGTAGGTAAAGTCCTTGTCTTGCACACACCGGGATCCCATATGGATGCCAGTTCTAATCCTAGCAGCCCCACTTCCCATCAGTTCCCTGATTGGTGTCCTGGGAAAGCAGTTGAGGACGGCCCAAAGCCTTAGCACCCTGCACCTGTGCAGGAGACCCAGAAGAAGCTTCTGACAGCTGGCTTTGGATCAACTTAGACCCAGCCGTTACAGCTGCTTGGGGAGTGAATCATTGGACAGAAGATCTTCCTTTCTGTATATTTGACTTTCTAATAAAAATAAAATAAATACTTAAAAAAGGAATAACCAAACAAAATCTAAATTAACATTTAAATCTATCTCATTCTAATGAAGTTAAAAATAATATAAAATAGGGAAAATACTCTTTAAAAGATCATACTAATTTTCCTATCGTGTAGTAAATGAACAACTGTGTATCTTATGCTTTTGCTCAGAACTGACGTCATCACCTCACATTCATTGTCAAAACAGACTGATGAAAAGCAACCCTCTCTTATAATCTGCTAATTATATGTTGAGCAAAGAGTAATTCCATCTGAAAGCTGCTCTGTAAGGTTGGTCTATGAGATACAACCAACGTATCTAGGGTTATGGTAGAGATATTAAGAAGCCTGACAATTTATCCTTACTGATTCAACCTGTGATTAAAACAACGAATCCTCCCTTTTTTGGTATATTTTAGTGAAAACTACGTGTTGTTTTTCTGCAAATATGGTAACTTATAACGTTTTCATGACACATCCTTCACAACTCTCACAGGTTGGCCAGATAGCCTACTACATAGAAAAAAAAACTCAAAATGTTAATCATGTAAATAGAGACATTAAAATATTGTATATGTATATATACATACAAAGATATATACACACATATGTGTATGTGTGTGTGTGTGTATGTCTCAGTTTAGTAATAATTTAAGTTTAAAGTTTTGACTTTTGGGATGGGCATTATGGTGCAGTAGGTTAAGCCACAGCTTGAGACACCTGCATCCCATATTTGATATACAAATCCCGAGGTTAGAGTCCTGCCTTCATTTCTGATTCAGCTTCTTGCTAATGCACACACCTGGAAGGCAGATGAGGACTCATGTGGTTGTGTCATTGCAACTCATGTGATATCTGAATTCAGTTACAGGCTTTGGCTTGGCCTAGCCTCCATTGTTGGGGACATTAGGGAGAGTGAAATAGGATATGGACTATTTCTTTCCCTCTCTCTGACTCTTTCAAATGAAAAAAAAAACTTTAAAAAATACTGACTTTCAATCTATGTCTGATTTGAAAAATGTTTTATTTCAGCCTTAAGCAAATTTTTGAAAGTAAAAACAAGAATTTCCTAAAATGCAGTTCGAGTAAATGCAGTAAATGCAAATAATAATCTCTAACCATTCAACATACACAGCAATGCAAACTCAAGTTTTCTCCCACTGACAACTTCACTAACTCTTACATGGCAGGAAAAATTTAGAATAGGTCTAAGGAAGACATTCATATTCAACTTTGGGGGAGGATCAACTTTAACACAGGCCAAAACCTCAGTTAACTTTTACAGAAAATAAAACCTCTATGAATCCCCCAAAATTAAACACATTAAACACTGCAATTAGCAAGAAAAGCTCTTTTCTTTTTAAAGATATGTTTATTTATTTGAAAGGCAGAGTTAGAGAGAGATCTTACATCCACCGGTTCATTCCCTAAATATGCACAATGGCTGGAACTGTTCCAGGCCTAAGTCAGGAGCCAGGAGCTTTCTCCAGGTCTCCCATGTGGACAGCACGGGGCCCAAACAAAGGTTCTTACATTTAAAGGTTGTTAAGAATGTGACCACAGGGCTCAACACGATAGCCTAGTGGCTATATTTTTGCATTGCTAGTGCCAGGATCCCATATGTTTGCAGGTTTGTGTCCGGGCTGCTCCTTTTCCCATCCAGCTTCCTGTGTGTGGCCTGGGAAAGCAGTGGAGTACCGCCCAAAGCCTTGGGACCCTGCACATCCTTGGGAGACCAAGAAGAGGCTGCTGGCTTCAGATCAGATCAGCTACAGCTGTTGTGGCTACTGATGAGTGAATCAGTGGATGGAAGATCTTTCCATATCTCTTTCTCTCTGTAAATCTACCTTTCCAATTAAAAGAAAAAAAAATCTTTCAAAAGAAAAAATTGTAACCATAGTTTTTACTGTAATAATCTCACTCAAAGAGTAATATGTTGGTATGAATTGCCTAATTCTAATCATTGGCAATCATCTATATTGCTGAACTTTTTGTATATTCTGATGAGATGGTCAACACCCATCTAGACAACATAAAAGCTATAAAATTATGACCTATTTACTGTGGATTTATGTAGCACATGTTCAATGAGTATCCCAACATGTTTCAATAATTCTAAAATCTTACTAGATGCAGTACAGCTGCTCCAAATCTCAAAGTTCTACCAGCAAGTGTCCAAATTGAAGTTCTTGGGACACCAATTACAGAGAATAACACAATGTTAACTAATGCCCTTTAGTCAAAAACAATGAGAAATTTATGTGGAGATTTTTTATCTAAAGAATTTTTCAGAAACTTTTGATTAAGCTTAAAAACCCATGATCAGTCCTTTTATATAAAATGTCTAAAAAAGGGAAAGTAAGTGTTGGTATCATGTGTTTTTTCTGCATAGACTAGGTTTATTGCCCTTAGATTTCACCGAACAGAACTAGAACATGACATAGGACTTACTTTCCATTTTACCTTATTCCAACACTTACTTTCCATTTTACCTTATTCACATGAATAATAAGAACTTCTACTTATACATACTCGGTAAAACTCCTACACTTCTTATTAGTAACAGTTTCAAGAAATAGCCTAAAAATATCACAATAATCAATTATGGGCTTAAAATTGTCATTTTAAGCTCCAATAGCAATGTTACCAAGAAGATTCTAAGCTAAAGTCAATCAGGCTCCTAAAGCAAAGCTGCTGTTGATGTCAGTAGGTATAGATGGGTTCAAGCATAATACAGAAGACACATAGCTTATATTGGCAAATTCAGTTAAATAGCATCATAAAAAATATATAGTATTGTCTTTGACAAATGGCTTACGTGAGAGCTTAGTAGCAACCAAGCTGATAGAAGTATTGGACACTGAAGTGAATGGCATGGTGCTTGAAATAGTGGTTTCATCAGTAGATACTGGAGCCAAATCTAAGAATCAATGTAACAAGCAGAAAGATGTCATTCAAAATAGCTTTTTAAAAAGTAAAACACCATCACTGTAAGTTTCCTTGATATGGAGAAATAAAATACAAGTAAAGAAAACCATGTACCCTGAAACCTAAATAAATAGACAAAATAAAACCCAGATTATGAAAATGGATAATCAGTATGGCTAAGTACAGTCACTCTTTTGATACTATCATAACAAAGACACTCTACATTACCAATAGAATAAACAAGAGGGCCCAGTGCAATGGCTCAGTTGGCTAATCTTCCCTTTGCATAGCGCCAGTATTTCACATGGGTGCCAGTTCATTTCTCGGCTGCTCCGCTCCCCATCCAGGTCCCTGATTGTGACCTGGGAGGGAAGTGGACGATGGCCCAAGGCCTTGGGACCCTGCTCTGGCATGGCAGATTCAGAAGAAGCTCCTGGTATCTGGCTTCAGGTTGGCTAATTTCTGACCGTTGCAGCCATTTGGGGGGTAAATCAGCAGATAGAAGGTCTTTCTGTCTTTCCTTCTCTCTATAAATCTGCCTTCCCAATAAAAATAAATAACTCTTTTTAATAGACAAAAGAAAAGGACCCACTATCAAAATTGTGACATAAACAATCCCATGGATATGGTTCCCACTAAAACATTTGTAACTGGCAAAACATGTTTTATTAAAAAAAAAAAATACTGGAAATCACCAGAAGCTGTCCTGAGGGCATACAGGAAAATACAAAAGATTTATTCAAGAAAATCTAAGATTCAGTATTCCGACAGTGAAAGACTGTAATGGCATCTGAGCCACATGCACTCATACCTCACTGCTCATTTTGATGGGAAACCAAGAAGGCTGACTCCCTCATGTCTCCAGTTCCCAGTCAAGGGATAAATTATATCTCAATGAGAGGGAAAAACAACTCCAGCAGAGCTGAAAATCCTGATGAATATATCCAAAAGTTCAGGGGGCACCCTTCCTTTATCACATCTCTACTCACAGTAAAGAAGTTCATTACAAACAGAGCTCACCCTGACCCTGATTGCTTGATCCCAGCTCAAGTGAAGGCATAAGTTCCAAGTATGAAGATGTAAGCAAGAAGTGCAGTGGCTTTTAAGGTTTCGTTGCATCCAAAGCCCTGGCTCAAAGATTTTGCTGAGGGATTTATTAGAACAGAGAGTTCCCATGCTATACCTAAGAGAACTATATGGGAATAGAATATGAGATTGCTCAAGCCAAAGGACACTCTGTAAATAATATAAATTTTGAAGATATATTTTGTTTATTTCTTATTGGAAATACAATTAGGGGATAAGAGGAGGTAAAAGATTATCCAGAAGCTCAGCGCAATGCCTCAATTGCCTAATCCCCCCTGTACAAGCGCCAGGATCCCATATGGACGTTGGTTAAGTCCCAACTGCTCTTCCCATCCAGCTTCCTGCATATGGCTTGGGAAAGCAGAGGAGGAAGACACAAAATCTTGGGACCCTGTACGTACATGGGAAACTGACAAGCAGCTCCTGGCTTCTGGCTTTGGACTCACTCAGCTACAGCTGTTGTAGCCATTTGGGGAGGGAACCAGTGGATGGAAGATCTTTCCATCTCTACTTCTATCTGTGAATATGCCTTTCCAACAAAAATAAATAAATCTTTCCAGAAAAAAAAAATGGGAAAAGTAGGACTATTTCTATTCACAGATGGCACGATCATTATTACAGAAAATTCTAAGGAATTACTAAAAATGGATTAATACAATAAATAAGTTTTAAAAGGCTATAGGATATACAACCAATATTAAAATAACTCACATATTCATATTATAACAATGGACAATACACAAAAATGAAATTAAGAATCCAAGGGGTGGCACTGTGACATAATGTGTTAAATCATGGTCTATAAAGGTGGCATCCCATATGAGTAAGGATTCAAATCTCAGCTGTTCCACTTCCAGTCCAGTGCCTTGCTAATGTGCCGAGGAAAAGCAATGGAAGATGGCCTAAGAACTTGGGGTCCGGCTACCCACAGATATGGGAAATTCAGTTGGAATTTCAGGCTCCTGGCCTTGGCTTATAACAGTACTCATTTGGGAAGTGAACCAGTGGATGGAAGATATTTTTCTCTCTCTCTCTCTCTCTGTCTCTGTGTGTCTTTCTCACCCTATCTCTTCCTCTCTCTGTAACTGTCTTTCAAATAAAATTAATCTAAAAATAACACTGAAGAATCTCTACATATATTGATTGATGTGAAACATTTACAGATTTTTAAAAAAATTGTATGAAGTGACTTTTTATTTTTATTTCCAGTTTAATTTTTATTTCCAGTTTATTTTTTGAACCATTGCACTGCATTATTCAGTTACAAACAAATCAATGGTTTTCTCCTCAACATAACATTTATGTGTTATATATATTTTAAGTGTTTACTATTTTCCACCTTTAATTCACCTAAGATTTTTCATTAACATTTAGGTGAAAGCTAATCCCCTTTCCCCCCAATGAGACTGTCCAGTTACTGTCATTTATTTAGTCATGACTCCATCCTCTCCTTCCCCACCCCCGCCACCATGGACTTGAAACATGACTCTCACAAACACAAGTTTGTTTTTGTACTTTAAACATAGAATATTTTCATATATTTTCCTACAAGAACTTCACCAGTACTTTCATTAAAGTACAAGATGGCTAATTTCAGGCATTTATTCACCCATTTGAACTTCAGAATCTTGTAAAGCCTGTCTCTCCTTTCCTTTCCCTAAAGACTCTCATTACATTTTTACAAGAAATGCATTAAATGGATAAATTAAATATGGAGATAAATGGCATTTTTATATTACTGACTGCATTCTGTGAGTCTCTTCATGTATTCGAATCTTCTTTCACATTCCTCTGTGAAACTCTGAGGTTTTCTTCATCCAGGTTATGTATGTTTTTAAAAGTTTATTTCTAGGCATTTCATACTTTTGGTTGAATTTGTTAACTGGACCTTCATCCATTCTCAACTACAATTGCTGAAACATGGAAAAACTATTGATTTTTGTGTTATTTATTTTGTACTGGTCATATTACTGAAACCTCATCACTAGCCATAATTAAATTTGCACTAGAATTATGCCTGTGTTTTAAAATCTTGATCATTTGTCTCAGATACTGGCATAATTTCAGCAGCTTGAATTTAAATCATTCACTCAGAGGTAGCTAAGGAAACAAATGCCACTTAATATGAGTTGCTTTAAAGTATAATGAGTTTTACTGTTAAACAGAAAAGAGCCTCAGAGACAAAGTTTTATCTTCCTAATCATGGGTAAATAAGCCTTTGTTGGGTGAGCTATCCTGTGTACTGTAGGATGTTCAGCAAAATCCCTGGCCTCTACGCAGTAGATTTTAAGTTTTGACCATCCAAAAAAAAAAAATGTCTCCAGACATGGCCAAATATTCTGAGGTGGAAGAGCGGGGTACAAAATCATCTGGAGTTGAGACCCACTGGAGAAGAGCACTTCAACATTGTAATTTCCTCCGTCCATCTAGAGCTACGAGGATATCAAAATCTTTAATTGTTTATGGTTAAGAACATAACAAAATGCTAACTGTGTTAAAATTTGGGAGGCACAAAAAGGTTTTGTTTTGTTTTTTTTCATAAAACTAAATACGGTCATGTTACAATAGCTAAAATGGTGATACTAGAACAAAAATAATAGTTAATAGAACAGAATAGGATATCCAGAAACAGAGTCAAGTCTATATAATAATTTGCTGTACCAGAAGGCAGTGATTGTAATTAGTAAAGAAGGACATATATCACAAAATACAATTGTTCAATTCACTCACGGATAATTTGGGGAAGATTCTTTTAAAAATAACCATTAAAAACAAATAAATACTGAGGTAGAGTGTCATATATACATATACTTAGACAGAGAAATCCAGAAGATTGAACGATTTGACAAAAATAAAAGCTACAATTTGAAAGGCTTCCATTTCTTGAGAGTTGCATAAGATGTACTTTTCCTTTTCACCCCTGCTAAACACAACCAAGACCTCTGGACTTAAAATTTGAAATAAATATAAGAAGATTCCTAGAAGTGGAAAAACTGTAGCAAATTGGATACAGATTTTAGGACCAAATAGACAGTGCTAAGTTCTTTCAACTTCCTTTATAATTTCCCAGGCTTGCAGTTGAACAGACTAACAAGCCAGAAATACCAGTCCAGACTTTCCAACACAAAAAGGAAAGGGAAGGCCAAGCATACAGCAGCTTTTTCACCCTCGACCGCAGTTTATGAACTTTAGCTTCACTGTGAGGGGGGGTTGGGGTGGATGCATAGATAAAAATCTTCACTTCTACTACCAGAAATCAGGAGATTCTTACTTCAATATGTCCACAGCCACCAACACCAAGTGAGGAAACAAGTTCCACTCTCAAATGCAGTAAGGAGACAGTACTCTTCTTCCCCTGTCAAAGCAATGTCAAATCAAGCCAGCTAAAGTAAAAGGTTTAAATCAAAGCCAGATTCTGGACATGAAATATGAAAATGTTCAAGTTCCAATAAAAAAAAAAAACCTCATCCAACCAAGGACCAGGAAGGTCACAAGCTGAAAAGAAAAAATATATCAGTATATGTTAACTGATGAAGATTTAAAATATTCATGACAAAAATGCACTAAACTGCAACTACAAGTACAGTTAAAACACACACACATATGCACACGCACACACACTAGCCTCAAAAAAAATTGAAAAGAATGGAAGAGCCCAGCAGCAGAATAGAGGGTAAAGACAAGAATTACTGAACTAGATGACAGAATAACAGAAATAAACTAATTTGAATGACAGAGAAAAATAGTCTGAAAAAATTAACAGAACACCATGCCCTTTGGAACTATAACAAAAGATTTAACATTCCTGTCATCAGAGGCAAGAAGAAAAAGGCAAGGCTACAAAAGAAATAATCGCTGAAAG